TTTTCACTAATTACAGTCTATAGGCTGCCAGGGCCGTACTCTCAGTTCTTACAGGAATTCTCTGACTTTCTATCAAATTTAATAACCCTTTCAAATAAAGTAATAATTGTCAGAGATTTTAATATCCACTTTGACAAACCTCAAGATGCACTAAGTAAGGCATTTATATCTATCTTAGACTCTGTAGGTTTCACTCAAAATATAAAGGGGACCACTCATTATTGCAGCCACACTTTAGACTTAATTCTGACCTTTGGTGTAAACATAGATAACTTAACCATTCTCCCCCAGAGCACAGCAGTCTCAGATCATTACCTAATTTCATATGAAATTTGCTTTAGTGGTATTGTACGTTCATCACCAAGCTATCGTATTAAGCAGACTATAACCGCCACAGCTGGTAGCTTTATCAGAAACCTTCCACAATCATCAGCTTCTGTCAGCTGTCCATCCTACCGAATTAGATATTATGACCAAGTGCTTAGAGGATACTTTTCGATCTGCTTTAGATAATGTGGCTCCATTAAAAAGTAAAATGAAAAGGCAGAAAAAGCTTGTCCCATGGTATAATGATCAATGGCGCCTGACTAAACTAGAAGTGTTCCAGTCCGCCTGGAAGGAGAGCCTTATAGACTATAGAAGAGCACTTACTGCAGCATGCTCAACCTATCTCTCCTCTCTCATAGGAAACAATAAGAATAATCCTAGATTATTATTTAGCACAATTTCTAAAATAACTAAGAACCAAACAGTTACTGAACCCCAGATGCCATTAGCCTATAGCAGCAATGATTTTATGAATTTCTTTAGTGATAAAATTGAAAAAAATAGGCAGAAAATTCAGAATACGCAGTTAAACTCTACAAAATTGCTGCCTTATAATGCCAATCTAGATCTTGAGAATATTGTAACTACTGCAGAGAGGCTAGAATTGTTTACCTTACTTCACCAAAATTAACTAATTAAAATTGTTTCCTCTGCAAAATCTTCTACTTGTATGTTAGATCAGATTCCTACAGGTTTACTTAAAGAAATTTCACCAGAAATAACCAAGCCTATTCTGTCAATAATAAACTGCTCTCTTAGTCTTGGCAATATCCCAAAAACTCTTAAATTAGCAGTAATTAGACCTCTGATTAAGAAAGCTAACCTTGATCCCTGCGAACTATCAAATTATAGACCTATGTCTAATCTCCCCTTTATGTCAAACGTCTTGGAAAAAGTTGTGGCAAAACAATTAAGTTCCTATTTGCATAGGAACCATATACATGAAAAATTTCAGTCTGGTTTTAGGCCACATCATAGTATAGAGACAGCACTAGTGAAAATTGTAAATGAGCTTTTATTATTCTCTGACCAAGGAAATGTGTCTTTGCTAGTCCTCCTTGATCTTTTGGCATTTGACACGATATACCACTCTATATTACTAGATAGACTAGAAAACCTTGTAGGGGTAACAGGAATAGCTCTTTCCTGGTTCAGATCTTACCACACTGATCGCTATCAGTTTGTTAATGCAAACAGTGAATTATCTGTCCTCGCAGTAAAGTATGGTGTTCCACAAGGCTCTGTTTTAGGGCCTATATTATTCACATTATATATGCTACAACTGGGCACCATTATCAGTAAACATGGCATCAATTTCCACTACTATGCTGATGACACAGTTATATATGTCAAGCAAACCAGATGATAAAATTCAACTCGGCAAGTTCAAGGACTGTATAAAAGACATAAAAGACTGGATGTCGAGTAACTTTCTCCTACTTAACTCTGATAAAGGTCCTGCTTCTTGGTCCAAAAGCTGCTAGAAACAAACTGTGTAATTTAATACTCATAGTTTCTCAGTTGCATCAGGTTCATCTGTAAAAAATCTTGTTGTCACGATAGATCCCGATCTGTCCTTCGATGCACATATAACAAATATTACTTGCCTTCCTGCATCTTCGCAATATTGCTAAATTAAGAAATGCATTATCTCTACAGGATGCAGAACAGCTAGTTCATGCATTTATTACCTCAAGGCTAGATTACTGTTATGCCCTGCTGTCTGGATGTTCCAGCAAAAGCCTTAACAAGCTTCAGTTAGTCCAGAACACTGCAGCCAGAGTCCTCACAAGAACCAGAGAGTTTGACCATATCAGCCCAGTTTTATCAAACCTTCACTGGTTGCCAGTTAAATTTCGCATCGATTACAAATTTCTTTTACTGACATATAAGCTCTAAACGGCCTCGCCCCTCAGTACCTAAATGAACTTCTCTCATACTATGAACCATTGCGCCTACTTAGATCACAAGGTGCTGGCTTACTATTAGTACCTAGAATTAATAAAGTTACATCAGGAGGGGAGAGCCTTCTCATACAAAGCCCCCCAACTTTGGAATAATCTTCCAGTCAGTGTTTGGGACTCTGACACAGCCTCAGTCTTTAAGTCTAGGCTAAAAACTTACTTGTTTAGTGAAACCTTTGGTAATTAGTTTTCCCTGTCAGATAAAAGGTGCAGATCTGGGGGTTCATGGTCATAGAGTGTTGGTGCTGTCATCCCGCTGCTCTCACGCATTCACTCAGGTTTGCTGACGGTGGAGCGGAGGGGCGCTGACATCTCAGGGAGCCCTCATGTCTCTGTTACCTTTCTGGTTTCTCCCTTTTAGTTAGGCTGTAATAACTAGACCTGCCGAAGTCTGTGCTGCACTTTGCTGCACTGTGATCAGTCACTGTTCACAGAACTAACTCTCTGTGTGTTTTCCTTTTCTTTGCTGAGTTGAACAACTCCCCATCCTGTGCGGTCTGATGCTGTTGCTTCTTCTGCCTTGATTGGGTGTCGACTGCTCGCCAGCCTTCTGAACCGGCTTGACCACCATTAAGCTTCATGCTGTATAACACTGTGCAAACCTCACCCTCATGAACTGACCCTCCTGATGATGCTGCTGCTGCTGCATAAACTAAAACTAATCTAATTAACCATTGCTTTGCCTGTTTTGTATTACAATATTATACTAATGCTGTTTGCTATCCAGTGTCGACCAGAGGAGGATGGGTTCCCCTTTTGAGTTTTGGTTCCTCTCAAGGTTTCTTCCTCTTGCTCTTAGGGAATTTTTCCTTGCCACTGTCGCCATTGGCTTGCTCTTAGGGACTCAGACCTGGATTTTTCTGTAAAGCTGGTTTGTGACAACACCTGTTGTAAAAAGTGCTATATAAATAAACTTTGGCTTGACTTCAAAGATTGCTGGGTATGCTGGGTATGCTCCCTGGTTAAGTACAGCCAGGGAAGGAATGCAGCAATTACCATGTAATACATTTTTTCAGTCTTGTCTTCAGTTAGTGAAATACTTCCTCAGTGGTAATTAGGGCAGATATGTATATACTCATTTTTTTGGTGTGGACTTTCACAGCTCCACAGTTTCCACTTTGACTTCATACTTCATAATCGTTATTTAAGGGTAAAGGGGAAATTTCACTGATTTTTAAAATCTGCATAATTTCTAAATACTTCAGAATGTAAACAAAATCATTCAGAGTGGTTTGATGTTTCTAGAGAAACCTAAAGAGTCAGAACTGTTCATCACAGTGGTGATAAAGACCAGATGTTCAAAGAGTTTAAAATTAATACCTCACAGAAACCTGTTAATGTGAAATAGTTATGAATGCATTGCCTGATGCCTGAATGATTGCTTCACAGTAGTTTGTGATGGGCAGAATAGTTTCCAAAGAAACCTTTAGTTTTTAAATTATTATTTTAATAATAATAATCTTTATTGATAAAGCACTTTTCAAACTGGTTTGCAGCTCAAAGTGCTCAAAGGCTCAAAGTAAAACTGTGCACAACTGTCTAATAAAAGGTGGAATTAAGTTCTACATTTTAGAAGCATAATAACCTGAAAGAGGCCTCTCCATGTTTTCTGTATTTTGCATGAAGTATTTGCAGAAGGCCAGTGTCTGTAGATCTAAGATCATTTGCTGGAACCCCAACAGACAGAAATTCTGTGAGGTAAGTGGATGCTAGGTAATTTAGAGCCTTAAAAACTAGTAGCAGAACTTTAAAATCTATCCTAAAAGGTTTTGTTTGGATCTGTGCTGCTGCATTTTGTACGAGTTGTAGAAAATGGATTGTTTTCTTAGGAAGTCCAGTAAGAAGAGCATTACAGTAATCATCTCTGCTTGTAACAAATGCATCAACAAGTTTCTCTGCATGATAGAAAATGCTTTCTCAAATGATTAATAGCTACTTTAGTAGTACTTAAGTAGTAGCTTTTCATCTTTTAAGAAATATTGCTAAAATTTCATAAGTATTGCTAAAAACGTTTAGCTTTTTTATCATTTGAGAAATATTTAAAAAATATTGCTATGTTACCTTTGTCTGCATTAAATACAAAAGATCAGATGACGTGAGTTCAGTGGTCGTTTTGGATATAAAATGGCTGTATTTGCATTGTAGACATCACAAACCCTGGTTCATATCACCACTATTGTAAAGAAAACAGTTGATATGTTTCTCTAGTCCACTCTGATTGTCTACACACTCAACAACAGAATTATGCAGAATTGTTTAAATACAGGTCCAATGCACTCTAGCACAGGGCCAGAACAAGATATACTGTGCCACCGTTTAATTACTTTTTTACAGTATACACCAGGAAGCTGATGAAAACAAAATTACTTCAGAAATCACACAGTGCAGCTTTAATTTGTTCTATCCACAGCAGGGAGCTGGAGCAAATGTGTGATTATAGAAAACAGTGTGTTCTATTTTATGACTGACTGACTCGTTCGCTTCCCAGTCTAACCATACACCTCAAATGGGCCAAAACTCTTTTCTGGAGGCCAACGTCTTTTAATCAGTGTAAAAGAGGGTAAATCTCACTTCACAAGGCCTAAAAGCCCTTTAAAATGGCATGCTGCACTTTGCTCTCTCTCTCTCTCTCTCTCTCTCGTCTCTCTCTCTCTCTCTCTCTCACACACACACACACACACACACACACATAATCTTTCTCTCTCTCTCTCTCTCTCTCTCTCTCTCTCACACACACACACACACACACAGTGGGAGAGACCGCTTCTTTTGTAAACAGTTGCAATGTGACGTGCTTGGAAAGTAAGTGAGCGCCAGGGTGAATGCCACTATACACTCCTCAGCAGCTGAAATTGGGCTAAAGATGGATCTCATGCGGTGAGAAAGTTGCTTTCTTTTTTTAATTTTGCCCTTGTTCTAGCTTCCTCCAAATGTTTTTGTGTGGCTTTAGCTTATTCTCTTTTTACCAGTGTTTCAGGGTTCAGTGGCATCCATTTGTAAAGAGTGGAAACTGGGAACTTTGGATTTTATTGATTAAAATGGTTATTGTGTCATGTTGCAACGATGACGTGTGAACTGCAGAAAATAACTCTGAGAGGCCACTTCTGACTAGTGCTGGCCACTTAGTCTTCCAAATTGCTGTTGCATGTTTAAGTAGTGCATTTTCCACTGCATTAAGCTAATATCATTGAAGCAGGCAGATTTAGCCTTGTTTTTACACACTAGAGCTCCACATCAAAGCTGTACTGCTCTAGCTGCCTTCAAGTGTTGAAAAGTTCAGAATCAATGTTTTCAATACTATAAAGCAAAAATATTTGTGGGGGCCATGAGGAGCTACCCTCATGTGTTGGAAGTGTCTACACTCCTCGGATGTTGTGTCCTCCCATGTTACCCTCCTTGTGTTTCTTGTTGGGGTTAATGGTGGGCTAGACATTTCTTGCTGCCTGTTGTAGTGCCTGTTTAAAATAAAAGAGCATTTACTGATATGTGCAATGTTTTCCACGCCTTCTTGTGTGCCAATGCTACATTGGTATCAGGATGAGGACCCGGCCATTGAGCTGGAAGAAGTCGATTGACATATCAATGAACTCAAAGGTGGACATCAAAGAAAATACGGCCTGGAGGAATAAGGTACTGATCGCTATGCATTCCCTCTCCCAGATGGGTTCAGCCAGCCGAGAGTGATGAAGGAAACAATGTGACAAGGCTTGGCAGTAGAGCTCAACTGGTGCCCAATGAGAGAAAGATGGCACACATCTGCTTACCACGCTTTAACAGTGAAGGTGTCTTGGAGCACAGCTTTAAGTAATCGCCAGAATAACCTGATGACCTAGTTGACTCTGGCCTTCCAGCTGTTTCAGACAGGTACCAGTGTCATTGACGATGAGGTGGCTGGTGCTGGAGAAACAGAGACAAAAGGTACCAGATAAGCATGCTGGCAGTGGAGCTGAGCACAATGGTTCGAAAGGCATACCTGGTGTGTGAGAAGGCTTTGCAGAAGGGAGTTGGTTCTAGAGCACTTCCTGAATGTGCTGCTGCCAGGGGAGCTGAGATGGCACATGCAGTTTGCTTGCCAAGGCAGCGAGGGCAGAACTCATTTTCAGCGTGAAAATGCCATGGCTAACAACACAGCACTACGTAGTAGAGGAGATGAAAAATCCTGAGCGGGGTCTGAGCTAGCAGCAGCGTAGTGATTGATGCACTGCAAGAAGATGTGCTACAGGAAGAGGGGACACTGCAGCAGTCAATGCCATGAGCTGGCGAGAAACTGAAGATTGGCTGCCACCATGGGCTTTGGGTCAAGTACAACATAGACAGAAAAAGGCTCACTGCCCTCATTAATACTAGCTTATCGGTGTCACTGCTACGTCCAGGTGTGGTCCTTCACACTGACAGCGGCACACTTGCAAACTGGGAATCAACAATCGTTTAACTCTAGTCTGCCACTGGTGGCCAAGATGACATCAGAGGGAGTAGGTGTCTCCCGGTCGTGGAGGGGCTTGGACTTCCTCACAGCAGCTGGGGCTGTTTTCATCCTTGGGAAGAAAACGCTAGGATTGGAGACGGGACAAATAAAGCAGGTTGCTATGGCTAGAGGCAGATCAGATGCAGAGAGTCGAGGCTCTCTGGCAGTGTGGCCATCGTGTACCGTGGTGGAAGCTGGGAGGAGCTGAACACGCAAGGCAGAACCAGCTGGTGGACCTCTGGGGGCGGAGCATGCTGTCAGGTCAAGGGCACTATGGGTTTTGCGGTTGAAGCTGCCAATGTTGGAAGAGCTGAACACACAGTGGTAGATGGATCTCTGACAGACACGGGCAGTGCACACAAGCAGCACCCTTAGCATTGCTGATGCAGTGGATGATGGATTAAGCAGAAAGTGGCTGAGGGGAGGGCCATTGCTGCTGTTGTCAGCCCCAGTAGCACCAAATTGGAGCTTGCTAAGGATTGTAACATGCAGAAAGCGACTTGCTGTTGGCATGTTGAATTAAGCGTTGGCATTCCTGGAAAAGATATCATTTAGAAGGCAGAATATATCACTCCAAAATGCATATTTTCAGTGTTAATGGTGGCTTCACCGATGTGCATGTTAACTATGCCATGGGCACTAATACACCCCTATACCATGACAGACCCTGGCTTTTAAATTTATGCTGGGAACTGTAACGATTATTGTTATCTTTTTCGGCTAATAGAACTTAATGACGATTATTTCCTAACAGTCTGAAAGGCTGACTCATCAGACCACAATGTTTATTGACAAGTTTGCCAAGGAATTCCCAAGCCAATGTGGTAATATCCATAACAGGGTTTTAATGCAGCTCTTGCCCTTTATGCGCAAAGCTTATTTTATTCCTTGAATCTTTTGATGATGATATGTACTGTAAAATACCCAAACTCCTTGCAATCCCTCTTTGAGGAACATTGTTCTTACAGCATTTCTAGTCTTAAAAATTCCCATCTCAACTTTTCCAGAACATGTTGCAGGCATCAATTTCAGAATGAGCATACATTTTCAAAATACCATGAAGTTGGTAAGGTGAAACATTAAATATCTTTTTATACTGTTTTTGTTTAAATATAGGATCAAAATGGATTTATAAATCTTGCTTTAATTGCTTTTTTCTATTTTCATTTGCATATCACATACTGTCCCAGTATTTTTGGAATTAAGTTTTGTATTTATCACTTAATAATTTCACCTAAAAATTTGGAATAATTTCAAAATACTTTAAATCGATATCAAGAATCTAAAAATAACTTTTGGGACTCTTTTTGTAATATTTTAATCTGTATATATTGTTATTTGTCATCTTTTATTGCCTATCTACATGACAGAGAGATCCTGATCATGGACTGTAACTGTAATCTGTTTATGTACAGTTTCTCTTAGTCTTCCTCAGAACCCACCTTGACTGAATATTTTTGGGTGGCGGATCACTCTTGACATAGCTGTGGCACTGACGTGTAAAAGCCCAGAGACACTCCTACCAGCACCACAGACACACTAACATACTAACATACTAACATGCCACTACCAGGTCACAACTGTATTGAACATGTTTAGCAACCCAAATGATATCTGGTTAGAGAAACTGACCTGTGAGAAGGAGGTGGCTGATAAATTGTGCATGATGGGCAACAGTCAATAAATAGTGGCCACATGTATGTATAAAGTTAAAATATTTACCTCTGTGTTTCCCCCCAGCATTTTGCTACCTGCTATCCTCTGCTACCTATGTGTAAGCCTTGTGGGGGCCCAAATAGTCCTGCTGAATGACATGTATGGAACCGTGCAATCGCCAAACTTTCCCGAGCCTTACCCAAAGGAGAAAGAGATCCAGTGGAATATCAGCGTTCCAGATGGATATCAGATTCGCCTCTACTTTATGCACTTTGACACTGAGCCATCATACCTGTGTGAGTACGACTATGTGAAGGTAAGTAGTCTGTTTGATCCCTGTCACCATACTCCCAGTAACATATTAACCTTCAGTAAGGGTGGACCATATGTCAGTGACTGATTTGTAATTTGCTGATAAATGGAACGATTGATTTATTATTATTATTAGTCAAAAATTGAAATTACAGACAATATTTACAACCAGTAATATAGTGTCCTATTTTGGTTGTGGGTTGGTTTTAGTTGTGTCGTCACTAGTGGTAAGAATTTCCATTGTTCAATTATTTTTGACTTAGATGGAGCACAGTGGTTTGATTTTTGTCAGGGTAAGCATACCGCTGCTACACCAAAAAGGGAAAGCTAAATAAGAGTCTTTGGACTTGCTGTTCAATGATGTGTGTTAAATCATCTAATATATTTGTGCAATGCACAATAATTCCCTGATTTAGCTTTGTCATTTTTGTGTAAAATTAATCAATTATCCATCTTTAGAGTCTTACATTCACAGCACTTCATATGTGAATTATACATATAACATGTATAAAAATTATATTTTTGTTTTGTTTTATGCGAAAACATAAATCACATTATTGACTACAATAAGATGTTAATTATTAGTTAGTGTTTTGGCCCAGAATCAGTGAGAGTATCAATGCCTTCCCTAATCTTAAGGCCGTATGCACACATCACACTGATATACCATGTTGCAAAAGTGATCATAATACCATTATCTGAAGAAACAGAACACTTATTGAAATCTTTGAAGTAGAATTTCAGAGCTTCTGGAGCCCAGCTGAGTGCCAGAGGGAGGTTGGCATCCACTGCTAACGTTGGCAGAACAGCAGTGCAGTAGATTCTGGTGCCAGCATGGCACAGTCTGCCAGGTTTTTTTTCACTTTGGTTCCCATTTTGTACCTTTTGGTGTATATAATAGCTTTACCACAGCAACACTGACCTCTGACCTTTAATAGTTTTAACCCTTAGAGGTTGAGTTATTACTTTCGTTTTGCAATATTCTAATATTTATGTAATAGCATGATCAATTACATAGCTTTTTACCTAAGGATCTATGTAATGACAGGTTCAAATCTGCACTTCTGACATTTCTGTTTGTATTGATATTAAATGACAAACATATGGCCAAAAAATAAGTGTTTTTTTTCTTTTTCCATAACAACTGTACAGACAACAGTAACTTGTCATCAAATTCAAATCATTGGGATTACAAGTGAGAGATAATTCATTTCAGATTGCACCATGCTTTTGCAAATCAGCGGTAACAGTAATTTCTAAGTGATGTAAGGTTACTACTGGTTGCAAACCAGTGACACATTCTCTAATTGTGATGGGCTGCAACCACCCTGTGACTGTTGAAAATCACACATTTGACCTTGTGGTATAAACACTGTGGTGACTGTGACTGTTCATTTTCAGGCATAGGGACACTTTGTTTGGTCTAATAGCCACCATTGAAAGGCATAGGATTTCAGCTTATATTGTATTTGTGGGAAGTAGATTTCAATGGACAGATGAAGCAGATGCCTTGGTGCCCTGCCGATAATGTTAATAGAATTTATTTCAAAGCAGCCAGTGGGCTCCATGGACCACGTGGGGCATATTTATATTCAAATACCTCTAGTGGGTGCCACGACAACCCGCATTGGCCCTAGATCCAAATCAGCTGCAAGACACAAAGGGCACAAAGCACAGCTTGGTCACTGCCTCTTATACATATACACACAATACACAGACACACAATACACATAAACAGAGAGAGTATAACTGTTTTACTCATAATAGAGACGTTTAGGTCACATTCATATGTGCATATATTGTACACTGAGACTGCATACATGCATTAGTCATTAATCTGGGACAATACTTGCATGTAACATTCAGTATTCCAATCTGGAAACATATGAGATAACAGTGATGAATGTGTCCCAGAGATGCAGGAAGTAGGGGTGCTGTCCATGCTGCTACACCATTTACTTTCAGGATTGTTTTCAGAAACTGCATTAACCTCTTATCATTTGTTGTTTATGCAGTCATGCATTTTTAAAGTTAGCTTAGCGTTTACTCTATCAGTAACTTGTGTAGAGCTGTCATTGTCATTTTCAGTCTTTGTGTTTCAGCAATTATCTTAGAATTAAAAAGGCTATTTTTGTTATTGTGCCTTTAAAACTGATATAAACAAATGGCCTTTTCTCTGATTGGCCCTGATTTGTGCCTCATTCAAAAGAAAAACAATCACAGGCTGAAACACACTTAAAAACTTCAACGTGAAAAGAATGAATTTTAAATTGCAGCTTAGTTTCCATATATGTGTGGACTGGCGATTGGACATTTTGTTTTGACACTTTAACAGAGTTTACATACTGCATTCAAAGCTTTTATTTAAAAAAACAAGGATTTTTCCATGATAGGGGCCATGATTAGTGGGATGATTAGTATATCAATGTAACATATACACTACCGTTCAAAAGTACTAGCATGTTAGAATCCTTCTGTGCATGTGTCTGAAACAAAATTGGATTAATTTTATTGGAAACATCCAAAATTTTCAAATTTTGAATGAACTTTTTGAGTGTATGATGCTTTAGCTTACATGCCTCTAACTTAAAATGTCTTTCTGCAACCTTGATGCTGCTCTAAACCACTATTTCCTGCTTTAATGAGTGTGGTGACCATGTTCTTTCACACAAACAAGCTTTCAAATATTTGAATTATCTTTGTTACAAATTTATGTTATTTTATTACTAGTTTGTGAGCATCTTCCATTTTTACATATATAAAATTTCCTATGGACCATGGGTTGGTGCACTGGATTTATTTTGTTTTATCTTCACCTAGTTTCAAAATTTCTTTTCTGCAGATGAACTATCTGCTTGCGTAATTTTAAGTAGCACTTCTGTTATGATGCATAAAAAACCTGCATTGCATTGCTGTAGTTTTGCAGTTTTCTTAAGCTCTTAAACATGCATCACTGTCTTACCCACACTTATTCACATTATACTCTGTGATTGTGTGTGTGTGTGTGTGTGTGTGTGTGTGTGAGTGTTTTCTCTGTTAGCTGTGTATGACCAATCGTTCACTGACATGTAGTATAAACACCCAGACTAGTAGGCAGATAAGAGAAATGTTTCTATGTGATTGTGCTTCTCTGTGTATGGTTATTTGTGTGTGTTTATACAGCTATATTAAGAAGCAAGAAGTGTTTTGATGTTTTTTTGGTCTGATGCTCTATACTGTAACCATGTTTAAGTCAAGTCAACTTAAACCTGCAGTCAGGGCAACAATACAATTTAAGTTGCATTTAATCAAAAACACTGTAAATATGCTGTCTCATTATAAGCTAATATTGTTTAAATCCCGTCCCCATCCTAATTTTTACCCATAAGTTAGGACTCCTCCTATGATGTATTAGGGCTTGAGAGCTTCATACTCTCAGATTCCTGACCACGGAAGGCAGTGGCTTCATTAGGATTTGAACTCATGATCACCTGTCTCTGGATGTTAGACAGTGAAGATGGTTTTGAGCTCTTTATCTAAGCACAGACAGTGCTCTGGTCACACTGCTCTGAGTAATTCCTTTTCATTTTTTTTTTGACAGAGGCATTTGTTTCGCTGTTGTCGGAGGAAAACCTTGTATCTCCAAAATTATAACTTTACAGAAGAAGGGAAAAACCTACTTTACTTTTAATGTAAGTCAATGGAACCAGACTTTTTTTCCAAGTAATTTTGGGTCATTTCTTTTAGTCCGTTCTTCATGAAATATACATACAATATAAAGGGCAACAGATATTTACAAATTATGCCAAAAACTGAAAAACGTCAAAAATAGAGATACAAGGTTTTCTTCTGAAAACAGTGATATACTTTCATAGACAGGAATCTTAATGTAAGAACAACTCACTCTCCACTACCTGTATGTGCAGGTGTACTCAGAGACAGAGGAGCTGGCAGTGTTTTGTGGCAGAGAGAGCACAGACACTGAACGGGTTCCAGCTGATGAGGTTATCTTGTCTCCAGGGAGCATGCTCAGTATGGCATTTCGCTCAGACTTTTCTAATGAGGAACGGTACTCTGGGTTTGAAGCACATTACAGTGCAGTAGGTAAAATCTGCTAACACACACAAACATACCCCTTGATATTTGGACTTCTGTGATGACTAGTTACATGTACTCAAGTAAAATTTTGATGGATTTCTCTGTGTAATTTGTGTTTAATTCCATTATGTTAACCTCCTGACAGCATCTGTACTGTTTTGTATGATTGACCACACCTCTGACCTTTGAGGTTTATCATTTAATTTTAGACCAGAGTACATCGAAAAGAGAAAAACAGTGACTAACAGGCTTCATATTCTTTTCTGATATGGACTATATGAGAGTGGCAGTGTTTCCACATTTGCAGAAGTCCTTAATTGCCAGAGTAAATTGTCCTGAAGCTATTCTCTTCTGTCTCTTCTTGTTCATATCTTGTCTCTGTTTCTGTAGATATAGATGAATGTAGGGACAAAAACGATGAAGATCTTGCCTGTGATCACTTCTGCCATAACTACATTGGTGGCTACTACTGCTCCTGTCGCTATGGATACCAGCTTCATTCTGACAACAGAACCTGCAAAGGTACAAATTAAAGCACAGTGTTTAATAATTAATATGCATTGTAGAGAGTTCCGGTGCGCCGTAGAATGGCCGCACTGGTGAGAACTCCGGGTAAACTCTACAGTTTTTTGTGTTTTATTGTGCTGTTTCTTTGTGTTTTTGCACATACTGCTTTTGGGATCATTCAGTATGATCGACAAACTATTTTGAACATCCGATCATCGCTCAAGACGGGCTTTAACACAAACACACGCTCGGACGCGAGCGGCTGTCCCTTCGCGGCTTCTCTGCCGCTTCGTTTACCAACACCCGCACGCCGGCGGAGCAGGAGGAAGCGCAAGAGGGGCAAACACGCCGGGATATTATGCAGAACTAGGAAAAGATGCTTCAACCCTCCGCTCCCAAGTATTTTGCTCGCAAATGTTCAATCGCTGGAGAACACTATTGACGAGCTGAACGCACGGATCAAGTTTCAGCGCGACATCGAGAGCTGCTGCGTTTTAGCGCTCACAGAGACGTGGCTATCCGCGGCAATACCAAACAACGGCGTCACACTCGCCGGCTTCTCCATCGACCGCCAGGACAGAACTCTGGACTCTGGTAAGGGCAGTGGCGGCGGGTTATGTGTTATGGTGAACAGATGTAGCGGTTCTAGCCAGTCACTGCTCTCCAGACATTAAACCCATAACAGTCAAAGTTCGACCCTTTTTTTGCGCAGGGACTTTAGCTCAGTCATTCTCACCACAGTCTACATCCCACCTCAGGCAGATAAGTCACGTGCATTGGAAGTTTTGTGCAAGACCATTAATGGACTTGAGAACATTCATCCTGAGGCTGTTTTTATTGTGGTTGGGGATTTTAACAGGGCAAACTTGAAGAAAGTTCTGCCCAAATACTACCAGCACATTAAATTTCCCACCTGAGGAGAACAGACTCTTAACCACTGCTACACTGCACTCAAGGACAATTACAAACCCCTCACCCGCCCTGCCTTCAGCAAAGCTGATCACACCTCCATTCTTCTCCTGCCCGCATACGAACAAAGACTTAAACAGGCGAAAACAGTTCTCAGATCAGTCTATCAATGGAGTGAGGAGGTCGTCTTCACACTTCAGGACTGCTTTGAATCCACAGACTGGAAGATGTTCCATGATGCAGCTGGCACAGACATCAATGAATACACTGACTCCATCACAAGCTATATCAATAAATGCACTGAAGACATTGTACCAAAATCGATGTCAGAACATTTCCCAACCAGAAACCGTGGATCAATGCTGAGGTTCCAGCCAAACTAAGAGCTCGGGCTGCCTACAACTCTGGTGACCCGGGTAGCTACAAGAAGGCCAGATATGACCTTCAAAGGACCATCAGGCTGGCCAAAAGGATCCCTGTAGCTCCTAGAGTGGAATCCAACTATCTTGGCTCTGATCTCAGACGTATGTGGAGTGGCCTGCGCACCATCACTGACTACAAAGAAGGTGTGATCTGTGATAGGGGCTCTTCCTCCTCACTTGCAGATGAACTTAATGCTCATTATGCTTGTTTTGAGGCAACTAACACTTCACTTGCTGAGAAACTCCCAGTAGATGAGGAGAGCTGCGCTCTAGCCATTCCCCTGTGTGAGGTGGTTAGATCCTTCAAGGCAGTTAACCCACGCAAGGCACCCGGTCTCGATGGCGTCCACAGTCGTGTACTTAAAGCATGTGCCAACCAGCTGGCTGAGGTTTTTACTGACATCTTTAACCTCACCTTATGACTGTCAGTGATTCCCATGTGCTTTAAGGAAACCATAATTGTTCCAGTCCCCAAGAAATCATCTATCACCTGCCTGAATGACTACCGTCCTGTTGCACTGACATCAACAGTTATGAAGTGCTTCAAGTGGCTGGTGAAAGCTCACATCTGCTCAACACTTCCAGCCACCATGGACCCTCACCGATTTGCATAATGCTCCAACAGATCCATGGACGACACCATTGCACTAACAATACACACTGCTCTCATACACCTAGACAGAAAGAACACATACGTGAGAATGCTGTTCATAGATTACAGCTCAGCATTCAACACATCATCCCTGCCAAACTCATTCTTAAGCTCACAGACTTGGATTTGAACTCTCATCTCTGCAACTGGATACTGGACTTCCTGACGAGCAGACACCAGGTGGTGAAAGTTGGGAACAGCTTCTCTTCCACACTGACTCTGAGCACAGGGGCTCCCCAGGGATGTGTGCTCAGCCCCCTCTTGTACTCCCTGTATACACATGACTGTGTAGCCAAACACACGTCTAACATCATCTTCAAGTTTGCTGATGACACCACCATCCTAAGCCTCATCACTGTTGGAGATGAAACATCTTACAGAGACGAGGTCAGCGCTCTGTCAGAGTGGTGCCATGACAGCAATCTCTGTCTTAACATCAGCAAAACAAAGGAGATGATTGTGGACTACAGGAAGCTGCAGAGGGGTGGTCACTCTCCTCTGTTCATCAATGGAGCCGAAGTGGACAGAGTCAGCAGTTTCTCGGCGTACACCTCACTGATGACCTCACCTGGTCCCTCCACACCAACACTATTGTGAGATCTGCCCGTCAGTGTCTCTTCTTCCTGCGTAGGCTCAGGAAGTTTGGTCTGCCTCTTCAGATCCTCACCAACTTCTACAGATGCACCATAGAGAGCATCCTCATAGGCTGCAATACTGTCTGGTACAGCAGCTGTACCGCCTGCATCCGCAAGGCCCTTAGAAGAGTGGTGAGGAGGGCAGAAGCCATCGTAAGCAACAAACTACCAGACTTACAGGACATCTACCAGTCCCGCTGCCTCAGGAAAATCAAAAAGAACCGGTCAGGCAGCAGTCACCCAGCTCACAGCCTCCAGACATTGAACCCATAACAGTCAAAGTTCGACCCTTTTTTTGCGCAGGGACTTTAGCTCAGTCATTCTCACCACAGTCTACATCCTACCTCAGGCAGATAAGTCACATGCATTGGAAGTTTTGTACAAGACCATTAATGGACTTGAGAACATTCATCCTGAGGCTATTTTTATTGTGGTTGGGGATTTTAACAGGGCAAACTTGAAGAAAGTTCTGCCCAAATACTACCAGCACATTAAATTTCCCACCTGAGGAGAACAGACTCTTAACCACTGCTACACTGCACTCAAGGACAATTACAAACCCCTCACCCGCCCTGCCTTCAGCAAAGCTGATCACACCTCCATTCTTCTCCTGCCCGCATACGAACAAAGACTTAAACAGGCGAAAACAGTTCTCAGATCAGTCTATCAATGCAGTGAGGAGGCCATCTTCACACTTCAGGACTGCTTTGAATCCACAGACTGGAAGATGTTCCATGATGCAGCTGGCACAGACATCAATGAATACACTGACTCCATCACAAGCTACATCAATAAATGCACTGAAGACATTGTACCAAAAATCAATGTCAGAACATTTCCCAACCAGAAACCGTGGATCAATGCTGAGGTTCCAGCCAAACTAAGAGCTCGGGCTGCCTACAACTCTGGTGACCCGGGTAGCTACAAGAAGGCCAGATATGACCTTCAAAGGACCATCAGGCTGGCCAAAAGGAGCTACAGGGACAGAGTGGAATCCAACTATCTTGGCTCTGATCTCAGATGTATGGTCTGCCTTCTCAGATCCTCACCAACTTCTACAGATGCACCATAGAGAGCATCCTTATAGGCTGCAATACTGTCTGGTACAGCAGCTGTACTGCCTGCATCCGCAAGGCCCTTAGAAGAGTGGTGAGGAGGGCAGAAGCCATCATAAGCAACACACTACCAGACTTACAGGACATCTACCAGTCCCGCTGCCTCAGGAAAATCAAAAAGAACCGGTTAGACAGCAGTCACCCAGCACACAGCCTGTTCGCCATCCTGCCATCAGGCAGGAGATTTCGCAGCATACAGGCAAGAACAACCCAGCTAATGAACAGTTTTTACCCACAGGCTGTCAGGCTTCTTAACAAGCTGTGAGGCTGTGGGTCCTTCCCCTACTACCATTTCACTCAGTCACTTTGTCAGCATTATTATTATATCATATCTATTTAAAGTCAATTTAAATAATAATAACACTAATCACTTAAGTAACTTTAAAATGTATATTGTCTCTGTATTTTGTTTATATCTTGTGTATATTTTGTGTATATTTAACTTATTTCAGTTTGTTTTTCTTGTATTTTACTTATTTACTTTCTGTAGAGTGATTACCTGAGCCTCACCACAAGCATTTCAATGCATAAATGTCCTGACATGTTGTGCAAATGACAAATAAACTTGAAACTTGAAACTTGTAATCTCCTGTTCATATTAGGAATTAGTCAGAGTTTTAAAATTTTCTAACAATCATGAAGGTCTTAGGCTGCTTTCAGAAGGCAGAGCTTATTCTAGTCAAAATGCCATTATATCCAATGGCAGGATGCAGATTCTGCAGGCTTTTTTTGCTGTGGATAGTCATGGATCTTCACAGATTGAGTTAAAAACTTCAGCAGAATAACTCCGCTCATCATATGTCACTTTTCACATTATTTACATTATTTTCACTGGAATATATACCATACCATTGTTATTACAGATGTTTGTTAAAAAAAAAAAAACTTGAAAATGGATATGTACCCTTCACCACCATAGCTTACTGAATAGTTTAACTATACAGTGTTGTCGCTTAGTTGTGGTGTTCAAGGCACTTGCTAACGTTGCTAACGTTTACATTGGCTGAGTAAGAAGAATTAAACCTACTTAACTTTTTCTCCCATCTTTCTCTTCTGAAAAACACAATAAGTGCTAAAGATCCACTTTGCTCTTTCTGTTTCACAAAACTTATCACAGGCAGATGTCTTGTGACTCAAATGTGGATTTATTGCGGATGTGCCACTGTCTGAGCACAGCCTAAAAGTTTAGTCTTATTTGTAAACAAGTTAGCTTAAAAAACGTCTCATATGTTCTCGTATTTAATAACATGATTTAGGATCCAGAAGAGAGCAGTTTAAAGACTTACATTTTTGTCAAAGGTTCTGATCTCAGGTGCATTACCTAAAAACTTCGTAATGCTAAGCACTTGAAGTGGAATCATAAAGGCATACATTTTACATAAATTGCTAGAGGCTTATTTTTCGTGTTGTACTTTCAATTAATCACATTTTGTAATGCAAAGAGTGGACTTATACATTCTGGACAACTTACTCTACTCATAGAGATTTAATTAAATAAAACTTTCAGCATCATATAGTGAATTCATCACATTTTGCTATCAACTAGCTACCACTTCAAAAAGTAATTGTTTTCAAACTAAACCTTTAAATAAGTTGTGACTAGGCTAGTAATGTTAGCTAAGATAACAGATTTAAGAGACTTGTTAACAGACTTAAAATTGACTGCCTTTCTAGGTGTAAATTTCAAGTCACTGTCATATACTATATCTTCTGGTGATCTGTTTCTCGATTTAATTTAATGCAGTAATAGAGACATGCTGAGTGGCACTGGGTCGGATGTGCCTAGTGTGTGCCTTTTGTTGAACTTATTCAAATGATGAATGTAAATTAGGTACAAATGCAAAGTAAACTTATAGCCTTCTTTTTTTCAGTGATACTTCTTCTAATTCCCTTCTCTTCATGTTACTTTATTCACATTTTAAATTTTTGATAATTGGATCAGCATCATTTTAATTGAATTGTAGTAGGGCCATGCTTTAAAATGAAATTCAGCAGGCTTTTACCATCCATAATATACAGAGCAAAGCAAAACATTTGTGAAAAGAACCAGGCAAAACAGTCATTAATGCAGAAATGTTTCAGTTCTGAAGATCCTATTTCAATGCTTTGTTAGTTACTTGAATTTCAGAATTGTGGTGTATTTCCAACTGAAATAATACAATAAGTATATACTGTAATCATACCCTGCTTGTTGCTTTTAATTATATTTATAGAGGTGCATATGAAGCCACTCTGCATTTACCTTCTGACACACTCACCATTCAGAAGCAAACATATAAAGTATGTGGACACCTGACTATCACATTTGTATGAACTTACTGGACATCCCATTCCAAAACCAAGAGCATTTATATGGAAATGACAATCAGTTCTTAGCAAACTAACCTGAGCTGCCCACACTTTTTGTCTTGGAGGGCGCAAAGTGCAAAGATTGTGATGGACCTAAGGTCAAAAAGATAAAGAAAAAGGAAATAAAGAAGGTAGTTAAGTTTTGAATCAAGCTTTTAAAATCACTTTTTTAAAACTCTTACTCTGAGGAAGCCCTTGGAGTAGAAGAGTACAAGAATTTCCTCTCAAATACAGGGGTTGTTGATTATGAGCTCAGAGAGACATTGATAAGCTGAGATTAGTGGCTGGAATTCCTGGCCAAAGTCAGTTGCAACAAGTCTTACTGCCAGACCGGATCAGCAGGATTCTACTGTGTAATACAGACTGAGCAATTACACCAGATTTACATAGAAGTGAATAGGAAGTAGGTTAGTGGTATTAAGTCTTGAGGTCTTTGCTCTTTTTATGTGGTTTGAATGTGAGTGGTGGCTCTAAATGTGTATATGTGAGTGTGAGAAACTAAGCCTATTGACTGAATACAATAAACAATATTTTTAGTATCATATTAGATGTATCTTGTCATTTAGCATTTAATATATGTATTGTATTTTAGATACATATCGAATATGTATGTGACATATATATGTAATTGTGTGTGTGGAGGGGGTGGAAGGGTGGGTAGGTGAGAGGGTGTGGTGTGATTAACTGTGTATCTGTTTAATGTCCACTCTTTGCCCCTGCCTAAATGACAGCAACCGAAAGCTGACTGGTAAATATTTACATTTGAGCTGCCAGTAAAATCTGAGGAATGTTCAGAGAAATGGAAGCTGTGCAACTCATGGTTCAGATTTTCAGTATTATTCTAAAAAAAGTAACTGACATACTGTATCACTTTAGTAGTTACTTTTGTTACCATTTACATTTGTAGTTTTTATTTAGAGTAAGTTTTGTGTCATAAAAAATACATTGACTGTCATATCTAAACTTGTTCTGTCAAACATGATAAATGATTAACGGGTCTATTTTGTCCACATAATTTTGTCCAATCAGATGGCTAAAGCAAAGTGAAAATCTTTGTGTAGGGTCAAATTTGAGCAAATAAGACTGATTATGATTACACAAAATAGCAAAAATAAATTGCAATTAATTCTTTTAATTGTCATACATTTTTTAGTTTTTACATAATTATAAATGATCCGAAATAACTTGATGATGATGATGTACATTAAAGTTAAGAATATCTTCTTCTCCTGCAAAGTTACCATTTTGCAGATATGATGTTTTGTTATGCCAGCGACAAGATCTTAACCTTAGATTGTATTGTAATGTGTGCCTTTTTGTGTCTTTTTTTGTGTGTGTGTGTGTGTGAAATTACAGTGGAGTGCAGTGATAGTGTGTTCACTGAGCGTTCTGGACACTTTACCAGTGCAGATTTTCCAAAGCCATACCCTAAAAGCTCAGACTGTTTATACCGGATCGAGTTGGAAAAGGGCTTTCTGGTCAGTCTGGATTTTGATGATAGCTTTGACATTGAGGACCACCCAGAAGTCATGTGTCCATATGACCACATTAAGGTAAGGGTCACATTGCATGTGAGTGCTGTTAGAACTGAACCTTTATCATTTCCATCTGCATTTTTTTCAGTTCTGGAAGCCAATTGACCAGACACAAGTTAGGCCTCGTCTGGGACTAAAAATAGACTTTAATAAAAGAACATATATTGAAGTTAATTAGTCTCACAGATGTCAGCACATGTAGCATTGGGTGACAACACTATCACTGCCTAAAATATATGGGCTAATTTGAATGGTTACCTGTGTACTGCACCAAGGCACTGCTTAGTGTAGTATTTTCCAATCTCTATTATACCTGGTTTAAACCAATCCAGCCCTCACATTTAAATCACATAACTCCACATTGCTGGGTCATTTGCACTGTATTTAGGCCAGCAAGAAGTCTTTTATTGGTGTAGCATGATGTGCTTGTCTGGGAATTGAACCCTAGACTGCTGTGTTACAGACAGCAGTAGTACCCACTACACTAGACTAACTGCCAGCACTGTGAATGTTTTTTACATATTAGACACCTAGATTTGATTTAACTCATAATAATGTAACACCTGATTGTCATGACTCAGTTTTAGTTACAGGGCCACATATGTGGAGAAGGCAATGTGTTAACACTTTAACACAGCAATTGCCAGGTGCTGCTAGTGTTTTTGCCATTGTGAAAGCTCAATGGCTGCCAAAAAAATCTAGGGAGGCCAGGATTAGCTTCAAGGAAAATCTCACCAATTACTCAGAAGTGTTACAACATGGGCTCAGTGGGCCATAGAAACACACACACACACACACACGCAAACACACATACAAGGCTACAGTCTTACCACTAAGACCTCAGACAAACATGAATTGGAAGTGTAAATGTGGAACTGCCTTAGCTTAACTCTCACTGCTCAAATTTCACTACACACCCCAAAACACTGCATGATCATTTGCTCCCTCTGCACCGTATTTAGGCCAGCATGTTAAATGTGCCTCAATCCTGCACTGGTCCAACACACCTGACTCAGCCTATAATGGGCTGGATTGGTTTAAATCAGGCATAATAGAAATGAAAAATACTAAACTGTTCATACCCTTGGTGCAGTATACAAGTGACAGTTCAGATTAGACCATATGTTTTAGGCAGTAATATTGGCGTCACCATCAGTTATATTAGTAATCTACTGACTATTTTGATGAGTAATTAAGTTGCTAAGACCTAAAAATGCTAAGAAAATAAACAATATGCACAACAAAAACTTTACTAAACAGTAACAAAGCATGTCGAGATTTTCAAAGTTAGCAAAATACATACTATGAAGTCTTTAAAAATATGTTTAAGACTGTAATAGTTGTACTGATCATGTGAGTAAATAAAAGACGAGAATGACAGTGATGATGCTGACAAACAACTATGATGATGATGATAATGGTGACGGTGACCTCATGTGTTCTCTGCAGATTCAGGCGGGAGAAAGAGAGCTAGGTCCGTTCTGTGGAGATCATTCCCCTGGCAGGATCCAGACTGAAAGTAATATTGTAAACGTCTTGTTTCACAGTGACAACTCGGGAGAGAACCTGGGCTGGAAAATCACATACACTGCTACAAGTAAAAGCAACAAAAATAGAGTTTTCTATTTTTGTCTTATTTGTCTTTTCTGATGCCCTGATGATGCTGCTGCCTTTGGAGCCCTCTTTCTTTTTCAACACGTTTCTGATGCTCTGATGATACTGCTGCCTTTGGAGCCCTCTTTCTTTTTCAACACTTGAAAGTACTGAAAACACAGAAAATAATAGAGAAAAAAAAATCTAATTTATCCTGAAATATCTCCGAACTGTTTGTATTGCAACATCATGCAAAGTAGATGTGTGTGTGTGTGTGTGTGAGTAGGTGTGTGTGTGTGTGTGTGTAAGTAATGTTTTTGGCTAAGTATTTACTCCTGTAGGATGGTAAAGTGTATGAACTTTTAGCATGGTACCTTGACAATCTTAAGTCACATACTTCAATAATAATAGCTTATTTCAAAGTTTAATAGCTTTTGAGGAAAAAAATATTATTGGTATCAGGTAACTTTGTTTCAGTAGCAGTATCAGAAAAGAAAATGGCCACTGCTTTTTTCCATTTGTAACAAACCATTGATCATGCTGCCATTCATATTTGCAGCTAGTTAAGTATCTAGGACTTAACTGAAGGCCTAGAGTGATGTTTTTCTTTTGTCACAAAATTCTTCCTACCTGTTGGAAATCAAAACATGGTTAGTTGATTCTTCTATCACTTCTTAATAATGCTGATGGTTGATTTAATGCCCTTAAAAGTCCTAACCAATAGGAGACTTTGATTGTCCCTATCTGCCTAGATACCACGGACAAAAACAATTCCTGATTGGACAATTATGTGCTCAGCATTTCAAGTATTTAACCCTTTTGTTTCAATCCAGAACTCAACAGTGAAACAAAGGTAGTGCTGTAATACTTGCAGAGTTTAAATACAGGCATATTTCTATTGAACAAAAATCAACAAAAAATTATAGATTTTATGTATTTATTATTATGTATTTTTAGTTCCCAGAAATCATCAGGCCCATCTCTATGGCACACATTTCTTAGACTGATATACAAGCATGTGTAATTTGTATACCAGCTTTACCTCTGCTGCTAAAACCATGACACATAAATGCCTCTCGTTTTTGTAGGCAGTGAGTGTCCAGTACCTGTAGTGCCCCCAAATGGTCATTTGGAGCCACTGCAGTCTCAATACTTCTTCAAAGAGCACATCACAGTGGCCTGTGACCCTGGATACACACTGCAAAAGGTTAGCAACAAGCAGTACAACACAGACTGGCACTGATACACACAACAACAGATACACACATTCTTTTCTACCTTTTGATCACATTTTCTTTTCTCTTCATTTCTTTTTCTGCCTGCATGTTTGTTTCTTAGGATGGAGAGGAATTTGAGCACTTTCAGATACAGTGTCAGACAGATGGAACTTGGAGCAGCAGTGTACCTATTTGTGAAAGTAAGAAATATTAAGTCACTTGTGTGCATGTATGTCAGTTACCACTATAAAAGCTGTCAGTTACCACTATAAAAGTTGCCGGTGTGTAGTAGATCTTTGAATAAGTTTACACACTTAAAAATGATGTTTTAAGGAAAATGGTTCAATAGAACCATGAACATTCAAAGAGCCCTTTTCATGATTAAAGGGTTCTTTGCATTGTGAAAGGGTTCTTCAGACTGACAGAGAAAGTGCTGTAGATGGTACATTTTTGAAAAGGGTCCTGTATAGCACCAAAAAACGTTCTTCTATTTTTACAGTGTCAGGCTTTTTACAACAGAAGAACGTTGTTTGGTGCTATATACTTTATTAAAGAACACTTGAAGAACCATCATTTTTAGGTGCTTAGTAATAATGTAATTTAATGTTGAGTTTTGTTTTAAGATAACTATCATTTAAGTGCCACCAGTTTGTATCAATTTGCCTGAAAGTATTTCATGTTTCAGACAAAGCTCTGCATGAGTAGCTCACAGAAGCCCACAGATGCTTTGTGTCTCTGCTAGTCTCACAGGACCGAACATGATCTCGTAACAAGAATAAATATCTGGGGACATCTTGTTAAATTTGTAGGGCTTGATTACAAGAGCACCTTCTAAAACCCATGCCCAAATTCCTCTAGTCTGTGCTCATTTCATTTTTGGAGTATAATCAATAACACAAGCTAGCAGAATAGTACTGCTAATGGTATTTTTTGTCAGACAATGTTGACGAGAGCATTGTTGCCCCCTACTTTAACTCTTCCTTTACAAAGCATTGGATTGGTTTAGAAATTTCTCACTGATAAGTCTATGTTCCCACCCCCAAATTTCTCATGGTTGTCCCCCTTATGTACTCATTTCGAGATCGCATCTGGCCCCACGAGACTACATTTCTGCCATACACCAGGTTGACAGTTTACCTTTTCTATTTATGTCCACATACATTTGGGTGATTTAATGGTGTTATGGAATCCCACAGTATTTGAAAATGAAGACAGTGTCTAATTTCTGTTCTACAGAACAGACTAAGTAAATACAATCTGAACATGATTTTTAATTGTTATAAATGAGTGAAAAATAAATGGGCAATCTTCAATCGCCAAGTTCAAAACTCAAAAATTACTAGATGTTAAACTGTGCTAACTAGTACAGTGGTGATAGTTGCAGTGTTAGACTTAGCTTAGCTGGCGGGGTAACAGTTCCACGCACCACAGTACTGTTTGATACCAAGAAATTCTTGCAAATTGCCCAGCAGATCATGATGGATCCAGTGGATATATGCTTCAACTATGAACAATTTCTCCATTTACTGCCATTTGCCATTTACTCTTCTCCATTACAACATGATGTCTCAGTGCTGTTGTCACATTTATTTAATATGTTAAGAACATGCCAAAATGTGTACTTCACTCTGCATTTGCCTTTTATCATAGTCTGATGATACAAATCAATACCAAGTCATTATCGACCTGAATTCTGCTCTGAATATGTACGCCCAGAAACTATCAAAGTGCATTCAGCAATAAAGGCAGCATGATGCTTCTTTTTTAAAGTGATAGAAAACACCAGAACAGAAATCTCATGCTGATACATTTTACTATTCCCAACGTGGACATGCATTTTGTGATTTTGATCATTGCACTGGCATTTGCTGTTTTATAGATTGTCACAAACATTGAATTTAAACTGGTAAAGTGAAATTAATTAGAGAACCCTTAACACTGGCATGACTGGTTATGCACTGAAACACAGGATTGAATCATTCAATTGTCTTCCATTTCTCACTTATTTTCTCATTCTGTTCTTTCTTCCACTTAATCTCTTCTCTTCTGTTTCCCCTTCTGTCTCCTTTTTCTTTTTTCTTTTTCATTTCTCTCCCCTACCTTCCAGAGAAGGAATCTCAAAGGAGCCGCCGTTCAGTAGCTAGTGTTCCAACCAATCTGATATTGCATTAGTCATTTGTGTAGGATTAGCAGGGACCAAAGACAGTTGATTTTGGCCTGTAAAACTGCATTTGTGAAACAGTAAATTACAGAATTGAACACAGTTTGACTCTCTGGACTGTTTATTTAACAATAGTTAGTACACAGTACTCAGTAGAAGGTAACACATTAAGAGTATCAGTGTTTAGCCCCCACTATGCAGCTTTTGTTGTGACAGCATCATTTTCATGGCAAAAAGGCAGTGAACCTAAATTCTAAAATAGTGTCAGCGGCACTGAGCAGTCTACACAGCCACACAGAAAAGTGTTAAATCAGACATATCACAATGACATGTGACAATGACAGTGGAAGGATGGGATGACTGATTTGAATAGGTGTAAGCTCTGCCTCCCAGTACTGCTCAGGGAATTTTGTGACTACATTCTGCATCAGGAAGTTGTACTATATAGCCAAAAATATGTGGACACCTGACAACCACACTTATATGCTTGTTGGACATCCTATTCCAAAACCATTGGCATTAGTATGGAGTATTAATTTACCCATTAGTGGCTGTAACACCTTCACTCTTCTGGGAAGGCTTCCCACAAGGTTCTGAAGCGATAGTTGTTGCCCATTCAGTCAAAAGAACATTTGTGAGGTCAGGCGCTGATGTTGGACAAGAAGCCCTGGCTTGCAGCTGACGTTTCAATTCATCCTGAAGGAACTGAAGTTCCTCTACACCAAACTTATCAAACCATGTCTTTATGGACCTCTCTTTGTGTGCAGGGGCACATTCATGCTGGAACAGGAAAGGGCTTTCCCCAAACTGTTGCCACAAAGGTCGAAGTGTCTAAAATGTCTTTTTATGCCATGGCATTAACAAAACCCTTTACCTGAACTAAGGGGCTTAGCCCAAACCTTGAAAAACAGCCCCAGATCATTATCCCTCCTCCACCAAACTATACCGTTGATGCAATGCACTCCGGTAGGTAGAATTTTTCTGTCAACTGCGAAACCCAAATTTGTTCATTAGGCTGCCAAATAGTAAAGCATGATTAATGCATGAGTAATTACTCCGGAGAACATGTTTCCACTGCTCTAGAGTCCCATGGTGTAATGTTTGGATGAGCTGTTGTTGCTCTTGGACACTTCACAGTAATAGCACTTAAAGTTGACTTAGGCAGATTTTATGAACTAATTTGTGCCACATTTAAAGTCACTGAGCTCTTCAGTTTGGCCCATTCTACTGCTAAGCTTGTCTATGGAGATGGGTATGTGCTTGGTCTGTTAATACGCCTATTAGCAATGGGTGTTGGTGAAATACCTGAATTCAATAATAAGGAGGGGTATCCACATACTTTTAGCTGTTTAGTGTATAATGCTGTTCTTTACTTCAGCATCCTGTTTTCTGCTCCATGCTCCTAGTTCTCATTAGTTTTAGAACATACACACGTGTGAGCAGATATACAGTAGCCAACCAGACATGACACATTGCAAAACTGACGTGCTTCCCATGGACAGAAGAGTCATTTGGAGAAATGGATGCAGCTGAAGAGGTACAGTTCAATTGAACCCCGGTCACTGATATGTCCATTACTATTTGCTTGTTTGTAATTAGTCCCAATACTCAGTCATTTCAGTATCCGACGATTGGAACCAATTAATTCCATAATCATTTCAGTACCTGTTATTTAGAACCATTTAATTCCATAATCATTTCAGTATCCATCAATTAGTGTAATTAAATTGTGCAATCAATTGTAGTTATCCATTGATTACAGTAATTAAATTCCACAATCATTTCAATATTCATAGAATAGAAAAATCTAATTCAATATCTATCAATTACAATAATTTCATTCTTGCATTTTCTGCTTGACGTAAACTTCCTCTGTGTCTCCTTGTCATTCTCACTTTATCATTCAAGTCTTTAATCTTAAAAAAAAACCTTTTGTATTTGTTGGATCATATTAAATTCTTCAAACAGCTGTTTCTCCCTTATGCTTATGCATGAAATGCTTGAATTCTCTCTCTCTCTCTCTCTCTCTCTCTCTCTCTCTCTCTCTCTCTCTCTCTCTCAGTGGTTGACTGTGGGCCTGTAGATGGATATGGAGGAGATGTGGTGTATAAAAGCTCCAGTAACAGTACTACATTTGGGTCCAGGATTCTGTACGGCTGCAGAAGTTCTCTTAGAGACCACAGTGCGGTTCTCACCATCAGTCAATGAGATGAACCAAGTCACATTATCATACTCTTGTTACTACTTGTACTTCCTGTATCTTTTTTGTTTTCCTGTTTTCTTTTTTGTATTAACTTCTTATACTGTATTTCATTTGTATGTATTAATTTCTTATTTTGTTGTTTAATTCAGGTATGTATACATGTGATCAGAGTGGTCTGTGGGTGGGAGAGGATGGAACCACATTGCCCTCGTGTCAATCAGGTAAACCTGATTTTTGTGCGTTTTTGTGTGTTTTGTATATATATGTATAGTGTACTCTCAATTAATCTTAAAAATCAGAAGATTACTTGATTACTATTATAATCGATAGTGACAAGTCTAGTGGTTATATACCAAGGTGATAATCAGTCATTATTTAGATAGAATGGAAGTAGCCATTATGCACCCATACAAGCCTATCTCTGGCCTTTATCAGGAGCTGTTCATCTGTGTTTTGTATTTAGTAATATCTGCCTGTGTTTTGTGTCTGGACTTTTTGTCTGTGTTGTGTATTTAGAAAAGCCTACCTCTGCTGTTTGCCTAAGAAAATCAGTTTATATAGTGTTTCTGTGCCTAACAGATCTGGAGAACACTACACAGTCAATGTTTGAATCCCAGCTTCCTAGTCCAACAGTTAGAATCCAACCTGGTAAGCCAAAATTGCTGACTCAGTGTAGTGTGGAGTTGAGTCTCTAAGCTTCACACTCCTACATGACTTCAGATTTAAATGAGTTAAAGGATGCATTGCTAAAGTCTCTGATGTTTTGCGGCTAATTTGTTATTCAACAAAAAAATGGGAAAACTGCTTTTGATCTGTAAAAGTGAAAAAGTAAATTCCAGTATTGAACACAGTTTGTCTCTCAGGACTGTTAAATAAACAGTAAGAATTGGCGTGCTTAGACTATTGTGCAGCTTTTGCTGTGACAGAATCATTGGCAAAAAGGCAGTAGACTTAATTCTAAAATAATGTCAGTGCCACTAAGCAAGACAATCTAATCTAGACAGTTGTTTAAACTGTCGGATCAAAATCACATTTATCAAAGAACTTTGGCAAGGAGAATGGGACGATTGCTGTGAATAAGTGCAAGCTCTGTCTCCCTCTGCTGGTCAGTTAATTCTGTGACCTTCCACTTTATCACTGCTTATAATGCTTACTACATAGAATGAAGAAAAGGTTTAATATAAAGAGTTGTAATTATAACTGATAATTTAGATTTTGTTTTTAGTTCTCATATGCACTGAAGCATGTCTAGTTGGTAGTAATGAAAATTATTAGCAAACTCACAAAAGAAATACACAGTGTAGTGGATAATGGTACATGGGACAGTTTGGTTCAAGTTCCTCTCCAGAAAAGCAACTAATATACCCTATGAGTTTTTGTGGTCAGAAGAATACTCAAATTAGGAACTCTGGTTCAAAGTTTGTTTTGTCAAAGGGACAAAATTATGAATCAGTTTGGAACATATTTTGTGTATCACAGGGCAACCAGCGTAGACCTGGAGTTCCTTATTTTGGCATGCCCCTGACTACAAAATCACTCACAAAATAAGAGATAAATGACATAGGGTTGGGCGATATGGCAAAAAATGTAATATTACGATACTTCAAGAAGTTTTCATGATACAGGATATGTCATGGTATTTCACTTTTACAAGCATCTAATTAGTTGGAAAAGACATAGTAGTGCCCCATTTCAAACATACCTTAAAAAACTATGCATACAATGATTTCTGTTCAACATTTCACCTGCTGTGCTGCAATAAATTTAATTAAACAGAACTCTTTGTAATCAAACATGCAGTTGGGAAGTGTTTCTAAGTACCGACAATGTCCACAATATGCTCAGAAAAGTATATTGTGACATATTGTAACTTAATTTATCATGATAATGATAAATATTGTCATGTTGCCATGCTACTATGACTGTATATATATAAAGCACACCATTGTTATACCAAAACGAGAATGCCACAATAAGAATCCTTGTACCTCCACAATAAAGGCGCTTAAGCAAGATTCTCAATATTACATTCACCCTCAGTTGTGAGTGGCTTTAGATAAAATAATGTGCCAAATAATGTAAAATGTCTATATAAAATCATGTAAACCTTTTAAAATTATTTCATTTCATTAAAATTAATTAAAAGTACCAGTTATCAGCCACAAAAAGGTGTTAATTATTGGTTATTACATGAGTTTATCTAACCAAGTTTTTTTGTGTTTTTATCTGTTTTAGATTATTTTCGTGGTACATTAATGTATGTTTGTTTATTATCTAAGCATGTGGCGAAGCTTCTCGGCCCTTTCCGTCCCAGCAGAAGCGTATCGTGGGTGGACGACCTGCATCCCCTGGTCTGTTCCCCTGGCAGGTGCTCCTCTCTGTAGAAGACACCTATCGTGTACCTGAGGGGCGTTGGTTTGGAAGTGGTGCGCTTTTGTCCCTGTCCTGGGTTCTCACAGCTGCTCATGTGCTCCGCTCTCAGCGCAGGGACTCCTCCATCGTGCCTGTCGCCCCCGAACACGTACGTGCCACCTTGGGGCTTACAGATGTCCGTGACAAACGGCTGGCCTTCAACCATTCAGTGGAGAGGCTTGTCCTGCACCCACACTTCGACCCACGTAACTATGACAATGACATCGCTCTGGTCAAACTCAGCCAGGAGGTGGTACTGAACAAGGTAGTGAGGCCTGTGTGTCTTCCCCCACCATGGGTCAGAGGTCAGGCTCCCACTCCACTGCCCAGCATGCTAGGTGTGGTTGCTGGATGGGGGATCAACACAGCCAATGCCTCCATTTCAGACATTGGGCTGACCTCAGATCCTGGTGTTGTGTCTGAGATGTTGCAGTATGTGAAGTTGCCAGTTGTGCCACAGGAGGAGTGCGAAGCCAGCTATGCATCACGCTCAGTTAACTATAACATTACTGACAACATGTTCTGCGCCGGGTTCTATCAAGGAGGTCGTGACACCTGTTTAGGAGACAGCGGAGGGGCATTTGTAATTGAGGATCCCCATAGTGGGAGATGGGTAGTGCAGGGGCTTGTTTCCTGGGGCGGCCCAGAGGAGTGTGGGAGTCAGCGGGTGTACGGGGTGTATACTCGAGTGGCAAACTATGCCTTCTGGCTGCACACACAGATGGACACAGAGCGCTGGTGGTAAGGGAAGGAGGGATGGATGAGACATTTATCTCCATTCAGTCCTACCTTTCTTGTACATTCTTATTCATTGTCCATTAGGGTTGGGAGTGGGAGGTATCCATGTTTTTTGCCATCAAACAGTGCCCAAATATTATTCCAGTGTAAGCTATTATTAGTAAATGAGATGAAGAAGATGAAAAAGTAAAACAGTGGCTCCCACAATTTTCTTTTTCCCTTTAAGGTTTATTATTCAGGAAATACACAGAATCAAACTGGTTAAATTGCTCTTAAGTGACAGAATTGAGAATTGGATTCTTGGACTAGCAGTTAAACTGTCAGTCTATTAACAACTGATAAATATTAAGTTGGACAGTAGAATGGTGCTGGCTGTGGTGCTAGTGCTAACCTAGCTAGGAAGATAACAGTTCCACACATCATATGACAGGTCTGATCCCAAGTTGTTTGTTCACTCCTTCATATTTGAGTCTTTGTCTGCCAAACTTGTGTTTATTTTACTTCAACGCCTACTGTGTTGTGTGAAGCTGTAAGCCTACTAGCTAGGTTAACATTAGCACCACAGCAAGCACCACTCTATTGTCCTAGTTAACACTATTTAACATTTGGCAACCATTATTGTTAGGTTGATGGTTTAACATTGATAGAATTATGAATTATAAATCATATACCGTATTACAATTATACCCCCCAACCTGTTCTTCCATAAATTTTATGCATGCCGCATTACCATACATGTCAAAATATGGCATTATGTGTACCATCTTTTCTTTTGAATATCTTTATATTCTACATAATATTTTGAATATATATGTTTTTTGTACTCTGTGATCCCAGTGATGAATAACTGTATAACACCAGAAATAAGCTGTGACCTAAAACAGTGTGTTCTGCCTCATGTATCTTTTTAACTCATGACACCTTTGAACTGAATCACAAACATATATATCGGCTATTTTATACTCCTTGATCTTGGAAATGAAGTTGCAAGGAATTTCGTCCAAATAAAATCATTAATATTTGTATTCTTCAAACAGTTACTTAATTGTTCTTTCAGTGGAGGCCCACAAATTTGTGTGCTGGTTAATAACTTCTGTGTGGTCTATACTTTTTAAATACGTTTTGTAATATTGCACTTTTTGTAGCTTGTAATATGCACTTTGTTGGTATACCACAACAAACATGTCAGTTGTCTTTGTGTTTTTTCATAACCTGGCCTTTGTTTATTATTGGCCATGGTTGAAAAAATGATTAAATAAATTTGTTTATTTAATCATGCATTGAAGCTAGAATTCATGGTTGTCCAACACTTTACAAAGATCTTTTCTTTTGTCAAGTGTCTGTATTTACAAAATGTCTAGTAGAGCTAGTAAAAAAGGGTAAAATTTGCTATGCTTATCAACAAGATAGTATTTATAAAATGGATTTTTCAGTATTCCTGATTTTTGAAAAAAATAACATGTACCTCTGAATAGTACAAGTCAGTAGCTGAAAGCAAAAAAACAGACCAGACAGTTTACATGTTTAATCTGGTTTAATGTTAAGGCATAACATGTAATGCCTTCAGTCAAATCAATATAGAGTGTCTCTGTGTGGGTGTGTGTGCAAGTGTGTACTAGTGAAGATGAGTAACAGGCAGGACTGAAGCAGAGGCATTATGAGTAAATAATGTTGTGCTATTTCTCCCATTGACATCCAAAACGAGGCCAAGACACTAAAACATCTTCTAAAACAACTTTGTAAGAATGTGCCATATAGTGAAAATACTGAGGCTAATGTGCAGGTGAGCTTACTGCATTGGATGCTTAATGAAGTGTTGCATTAAAATAGGACATATGTGGGTCAAGATCAGAGATAGATGGAGTGCAGGGTTTGGGAAAAGGTCAAAGATTGGAAAGCTATAGTGAAGTGACAGTAGCAATATTGCAATTTTGGATTGTGGAGGTTATACATAATGAATGAAAGTTATGTGACAATTGTGTGTTGAAACTAGCATGCTTTTCATGTGTCTTCTACTTGCAGTATACCCCCTGTGGACAAAAGCAGACCAGTAACAGAGAATCAGTATTTGTTAACCATTTTTTTGCTAAATAAGTATTGTTTGTTGAACTTCAACTTCATCAAGATAGAGCCCAGAAATTACTTTAAATAACTTATCTGTACAATGTCTGTCCTGTGTTAGATCTAGCCTAGATGCAAAGGACATTATACAATGTGTGTACCTATATATGGTACCTATATATAAGATACAGTCTATCCCCGGTTATTGGGAAGACGGCCCACCCCAATCCGATCGATTGGAATGGTGACCCTTCGCCTCGGCAACTCCACCACCTTCCTGTGGACAGACAAATGTAGAAAGATCAGTCTACTTTGCTTCAGTGGCCCAACGCTTTTAAAAATAAAGGTTCCTAAATTGTTCTCGGCTGGACTGTACAATATAGAATATTTAACGTTATGTGGAGGATTCTTAAAACTTTTTAACATTCACATATCCAAAATGGTTCTTCAAAAAACACCCATTAAAAGGTTCTTTAGAGAACCAGAAGTGGCATTGTTCCAAAGAAACCTTTTTGGAGTTTTCACTTTAGGGTCAGATTTAATGTCATGTAAGAGCACAGAAACCTGAAAAAAATAGTAAATTAAAAGACTTACTCAAGAAGTTAGTACTCTCTGTAAGGATTTTAGTTCTTTTAGGACTCTTAGTTGTGAGTTGATATTAGCGTTGTACTGTAGTCCATTCTCGAGATCTTAAATTAATGGCTTTGGCTTTGTCTCAATCTCTACGTCATTTTATCTTGAGTCTTTTGAAAGTGGACATTGTTCTTGAGACCAGCAGAGTGTAATGCCTCCATCTGAGGCAACTGGAAACGGAACTTTTTCTGTCATTACCGCATACAAAAAATACCTACAGATTAAAAGATGTTTGTGGTTTTGCTCAAATTCAGCTGACTTTATGTGGTGACTTCTGGAGAAGAAGGGACAGAAAAAAGTTACATTGAAAAGTTGGACTAAGATAATATTAGATTTATACTTAACAATGTTTTTGGGCTATGTATTATTTAATGTTGTATATTACAAAATATTAAATATTATTTATTATATATCATTGATAATAAATGATAATGCCAGTCAGTCCCCCACATGACTAAAATATCCTCTACCGTTAAGTTTGTGGAGATAATCTTTCCCCAGGACAGCACAAGTATGCATACTAAGGGACTATGTTATAGAACGATATTGCCATGGGCCACACAACTTGCTCTAAACAAGTTTTGTGCTCTTTCATGTGTTTATCAGCAGTGTCAAACCTCACTGAAACTGTTCCACAGTTCCTGATGATTGACTGAGTCAAATACTGGGATTAGATAAAACCCGGAGAGGTACTCATGGTGTTATTCTTGGACTCTGTCCTGAACTTATCTCCTGCTCAAAATCATTTAGATAGTGCTTTGAAATGCCTCAGGCCTTCCTATTATGAGGACTGTTTTTCTTTAGTGACAGCACAGAGGTTGACTCTTGTAAAGAGACGAACTGTAAATGGTTTTGATGATTGACTAGAGCTGTGATGTTGCATACACTGAACTGAATGAGGTTTTCATGTCAACAGCATGTACATTGCATTTCATTCATTATTATTACTGGTAATTGCCATGTGCCATAATGTTTGATATCTTATGTCACATGCTAATTTTTGCATACTTTAGAGTCCTCTAGTTATTCTAGTTACTTTATTATGACATCTGTCATGACAATTAACAGTAATGGTTACTTGTAAACAATCTGTCATGACAACACAGACGTGCACAAGACATCTTCCATGACATGCTTATGGCATGGTTATGTCAATATTATGTTGCAGAGTTCATGTACAGTGTTACTAGAAAAAACTTTCATCATCTAATCAAAGTTAATGCAATGAGATTTTTTTTAAGTAGTGTTGCACCATTTTATTCTGGTCCATTTATCATGAAACATGTATAGAATGTAAATGGCAGTTGGAACATTCAAACTGTGTAAAAATAAATAAATAATAACTTTAAAAAATTGAGTTATTTTGATATGACAATGATAACAAACTTGTCAATATAATACTCTATACTAAATAATTTCTACCTATCTTTCAATCTTTGAATTATCAGAACTTGTATAGGAAGTACAAATTGGACAAAATGAAATTTGAGTGTTGATGTATTACCAAGCCAGTTAAGTTAGACAGGGATGGGTTTATGTAGATAGATCAGGCTAGCAAATGAATTCCTTTAAAGTAATATAAGGCACTGTATACACTATAACCATAACATTCATTTGGCCTCAGTGAACCTCAGACACCCACACACACAGTTCGTTCAGAGCATGGATGGACCTCAGCCAATAAAAACAGTCTTTATTTGAGCCTCAGCCAACCAAATCTACCTGTAATTGAGCACTGGTGAATAAAAACAGTTTGGAAATTTGCCAGGAATGTGTGTTTGGGAATGAGCCCTAAGCTGAATGTCCTAATCTTAGTTGAACAAATGTACCCTTTTAAAATGAATGTAACTTAAGACTGCATGCATGCATATGATGGAATTAATTATCTGTGCATAAATAGTGTTTTCTCAGTGGATTCAACTTAGAAAAGCAGGTTGGACTGAAAATTGAAACCAAATGGGGATTAAATTAGTTTAGTCACATCATTTTTAAATTGATCTAATACAATTATTTGTAAAATTGTATAATAATTGCAAATCATCCTTGTTCTGTTCCTGCACTGCTATAATACCCTAGTGACTGATTATGAACAGGCTGGCCTGATGAGCTCACTTAAATAGATAAACAGGTTCATATTTTAACTCTTTATCAGTGCAGTTCATTAGAGGCACCAGTTAGCATCATCTCTCTGGGGTAAAACCATGCATGATGGACAAGGCAGGGCAGTGTTCATTATAAAGTGTAATTTTACATTAGGCAAGAGGATTTTGCTAGGCCTCTGGAATGCCTCAAACATACAAAAGAGTGGAATCAAACAGCCAGTTCCAACTGCCAGCCATCAGTTATCATCATAACAGTCACTTAAACTGAGACCATTAGCACATTTAACATTTCTTGTCACATGAACAACGAGTGTTATCGGTTAACCCTTTTTCACAGTAGCCACAAAACGCAATTTCCACCTTTTTCAAGTTCTATTTAACATTCTATTTTTTATGCACATTGATGATTAGGATAGACTGGAGATACCTTTTTGTTGCGTAATTAAGCCAACATTTGTATGGTAGCCAAATTTACATTGCTGTTTCCAACTAGCAGTAACTCTAAACTCCAGTCTGTTTTCATTCGATTGAAAGAACTTTTTTTTAACAATTCTGTAAAGCTTGTCCAACTTCACAACAGCTGCTATGAAAGGCAGAGCATATATAGGTCAGTTAGCCTAGATTATTGATTTCTTTATTCCAAATTCATTAGCATGCACTAAATGTTATGATAAATCAGCCCGATGATGTTATTAAACAAGAAATTTGCCAAGATCCAATTATTGATTACTACTAAGGAATTAGCCACTATCCCATTATAGATTCCTTTTACTGAAATTTCATGAGCTTGTCATTTCAACCTATGCTAAAAATAACCTCCACAAGGTATTATATCAGTAAGTTTACTGATCCTTCTGCTAGATGTCTATGTGTCTATAGTATTTATCTGTCTGTCTCTTTGTTTGTACCTCTGCTTGTTGCTCTTAGGGTCCATGGTGCTGATAGACAGGCGGTCCAGTGGAGCATTAGAGCCAGAGAAGCTCCTCTTTCTCTTGGTCTCAATGACATCATTCTCCAGGTTAAGCAACTGGTCCAGAAGGAGCAGTTTAGCACTGACTGACTTTGAAGTCTTTTGCACAACCGGACCATGCTGACCTCCATGGTTATCCATTGGAGCAGTCTCCACATACTAAGACAATTTAAAGAGAAAGAAAATATATATATATATATATATATATATATATATATATATATATATATATATATATATGTATATATGTCCGACCGGCTCCCTCTGCATTAAAAGCCAGGTTAGGTCAGGAGTCACAACCCAAATGATAAGAAGAGCCATTTTGACCTTTCAAAAAAATCAAACCACCTTGGGAGCCACAACATTTAATGTCCAGTATGTCTCAATATGTGTTAATGTCCTAGTATAGACTAAACAATATAAACGAAAACGACTTACTCTACTCTACTTTAAGCTTTAGCTATGGATGCTTTTCTTCCATCTCCACCAGAAAACTTTTCCTCAAAATTTGAATAGTTTCTTGTAAAATGTCTTTCAGCTTTCGGCTGTCCTACGAGGCTGAAGTCGCTTCTCATTCGCCAGCTTCTTGCTGAACTTTCCCGCTCCACCTTAAATTCTGACTGAGGCGCCAAAGGTAAATGCGGCACCATTTAAGGTGGAACGGGAAAATTAGAAAGAGAAGCGACTTCATCTTCGCAACTTTTTAGTGTTTGACAGTCTCTCGTTGCAGATTTAACTTATAAGGAAACCACCCCGGCTCTACCACGAGACCAAAACCGAAGAAAACGCGTAGGACGGCTAAAATATGCTGCATGGTCATTCATTACCACTGGATCTTATTTCACCCTAACAGTGCATTTTACCGCAGACGAGCGGCAGCAGCGTCTCCAAACAAGAGCAGTGAATGAGAGCCTTCCAGTTCACTTTCTACATCACTTCCATTTGTTTTATTAATAAAAAGATATTGGACATAAAAGAACATAGAAATCATGTATAGAAAAAAAAGATGCATCAAGATGCATCGATAATCGTTTTATAATCGCATCGCAGCCCTCTGAATCGTAATCGAATTGAATCGTGAGGTGCCTAGAGATTCCCACCCCTAATATATATATATATATATATATATATATATATATATATATATATATATATATATAGCTCATAATACAGCTCATCTTTTACATACATAATCCTCTAGCCCTTCATCAGTAGTCAGTTTCTGACCACATAACTACTCCAGCAATGCTGTTTTGCTTGATACACTTGTACTAGCACCACACTCAGTACCGTATCAGTGTCACTCCTGTACTGAGATAAATAATACCTGGTGAGTGGTGGTAAGCATTTCTGATAAAATGGCCATTAATGTAGGTAATAAACCGGCAACTGTCCGTACAGAAGATACACAGAACAGGCAGAACTTCATACACAGAAAGGCTGACAGACAGAGCTGACTAGATGAAATAGACAGACAGATAGCTATGCACATTAGGAGACTGTAGTACTAGTGTCTTGCAGTGCTATTCTGGAGGGGTTCCTACTATATTTGCAGAGCCTTCAGCGGCAGTGATGACAAGCCATCATCTCCTATTTGTTCCACTTAATCTTATCAAGCTTATGTGTGTGTGTGTGTGTGTGTGTCTGGAGACAGCCAGAATCAACACGTTCAATACACAGAATGTCTTGTGCTATCTCAAGTCTTTACTTCTGTCAGATACACTCTGTATGATTGTTATATAGTTCAATTGTGCGTTTTACAATTTTAACTGAGGTTAAGAGGTTAAGGTCAAGTTTAGGCTCAAGTGTGGGCATAGCATTACTCTGTACATGAGTCAGTGAGAAAACCCCTCAAAGATAGTTTTACAAGACTTTATGTGTGTGTGTGTCTGTGTGTGTGTGTATGACCTTGTCTTACCTCTGGGTTTTCCTGGGTCAAGTGGAGGCTTTCAGCACTGCAGTTGAACAACATCACTGTCAGCAGACAGGAAAGCAGCACACAACTACAGCCCAGCATCTACAACACAAACACAAATAACGTTTGTGTGGTGTAGCAAAAACGGTCATAATTCACTTTTACATTCATTTTTTAATTCATTTTCATTTTCGTTAGTGTGCTTTTAAGACTGATATGCAAATATTCTCCGTTCTGATTGGCTGACCTGAATTGCACCTCAGCAGTCTAGGCTGACATACTCCTTATGACTTTAGCATACAAGGGGTAGGGCTAAACTGCTGTAGCATGTAAACGTGTACATATGTAAATAACTGATTTTTGTGACATCATTGATCAATAATTCATAAAAAACAGGCTGTTTTGCAGCTGAGTTGGGGACTGAATGGTACATTTCTAAAAATTCAAGTAAATTATGTACCAAAAACCCATTTCACTAAATTTCCGGAGTCATGAAGTACAGAAAATGCAGTTTCATTTCTCTGTAGTTTCATAAGTTTGTTGATGTTATTGTGATAAATGGTGCAATATAGCTGCTGTATATACTGTATATACTGCATATATGCCCTAGTTTCAAGACATTCACAAATCTGTAAAATATAAACACCACTTCCTCACATGGTGTGTATTGTGTCTTCCCTGTAATGTATTCTCAGACACACACACACACACACACACATACACACACACACACACACACACACACACACACACACACACAATCGTGTTGAGTTACTGAGATACAAAGTGGTGTTTACCTTTAGCTGGACTCCATCTGTGAAAATACACTTGGCAGGGTAATCTAGCAGCCAGGAGAGTGTGAGAATGATTCTAGCGCATGAACACACCCCAACACACACCCTCTGCACAAACACATGAACTCAGCCCAAACACACAAAGGGACGCAGCGGGGCCACTGGCTGCACCCTTACCTTTGTGTCCCTGTCCACACTAGTAACACAAACCACGAAACACGCACGCAAGGCAAAGCCAAGCCAAGTCACATTTACCTCAGACCGTGTGGCAATGGGCTGTTAATCTTGTTAAGCAATTTAGCCAAACAGTTCATGTAATTTTGTCCAAGTTTGTGCTTTTTCCTTACAGTCTTTGCAGCAGGTTTTTACTGCCATCTCTTGGCAACTGTTAGGAATTGCACTTAATTTCTGTATGTCCCTGTTCAAGCCCAGCATCATGCAATTCTGCAAAGTAGTCACCTACTCATAATTTGATTAGGAATAAGTATTTTATTATGTATATTATACACTTGCAAAAAAAAAAAACAACACAAACAATATTAGTAATACTTTTACTGCTTCTGTTATTATTTCTCCTCTTACTCCTGTCATTATTACATTGACTAAGCATACAATATCATTTTTAAGTTTTAATGCTTTTTATTAACTCATTAACTTTCATTAATTTAACTAACATTATTTACCATGGCAAACTGATGCGAAACTTTATCCAGACTTTCTTTATTAGAAGTTTTTTCAAACTTAACATAAGAAATCGCTGTTTACAATTAGATGTAATAATGTTTTCACTCTACTTAGAATGTTTCAGTGCAACTCACTTCTCCAGACCAAAACATTTTATTTCAGGTAAAATAATTTTACGTTGTTCATGGTTTATACAGACTTTTATGTCTTAGCAATATTTGTCTTTTAAAGGGTAGGTTGCTTAGAAATGAACAGACAGCTTTTGTTATTGTAATAAATAATTCTCTTATCAGTTTATCTGCTAGATCTGATTCAATCACCTTCTCTCATCTTAAATAGCTTTAGAGAAATTGAAGAGAAATGGAGTGCATTTAGATGTGAGTTTGAGTGTGAGTGTGGACGATGCAGCCTTTACTACTGTCCCAGTGACAGGGCTAAACACATTGTACAGCAACATGAGCTAACTTTAGCATTTTCCGTTCCCAAAAATAAAACGTTGCCAGCCATCTCACACAAACTCTCTCTCTGCACATTCTCCAAAAGACACTCTCCCACTCTGGCCATACCAGACATGAATACTGCACACACTTTCACACCTCAACACTCCATTCAGAGCTATGCAACATTGACTTTATACTCTACATTGTTTTGATACTTTTAATTGTTTCGATATCTCTAAATCCATTAAGTAAAAGTGAATTGATTAATATGCACTGACATGTTGCAAATGCACAAGGCCATTGTCATTTACTCCCTTCAATCTTAATGCATCTCTAAACAAACACCTGTATGATAATCCTAACACCTGTATGCTCACCTAGGCTCATCGCTGTGTGTGTTAGATGCATTTTTTCGATGTTGGAGAAGGTCGGAGTCCTTCAGCCCCTCTTACCTTTAGTCACAATTCTTTCGTGGCCACGCAGGACAGGACGGACAGTGAAAGTTCCTGGAATTTCTCACATTCAGAGTTTCCCTCCCTTTGCTTGTTCCTGGTGTTGTCTTTCACCGTTTTATAGGCTCTCACTGGGAATCTCCTCTCCAATTGGTGGACGTGGTCACTCTGACATCATTTCTGCAGGTTTTCCACTGTTGCTCGCCCTAAAGCCTCTCTCTCTGACACTTTCATCCCTGATGCTATTAACTACTAATGGCAACCCAAGGGAACAGCTGGACCAGCTTTGTGTGTGTGGGTGTGTGTGTGTGGGGGTGTAGTATGGGTTCACACTTCACACACAGTTACCCACAAACTGATGTGAAACGTGCAACCCGTAAACCGATGTGTGTGTGTGTGTGTGTGTGTGTGTGTGTGTGTGTGTGCTTCTATCTCTACAGTGCATGTAGGCGTTTTATCTCTCTTATTCTGCTGAATCAGATTATACATGTATAAACTATCCTTTGCTGAATGTGGCCTTGCAACATAGGCTCAGAAATAACTAAGGAACACTCTGTGTGTGAGTGTGTTTGTGTGTGTCAGTGAGAGAGAAATGGGGTCAGATGACTGTCCGTAAACCTCTGACCTGTATTTCTCCTATAACTCATAATCTCTGTCTCTCTTGGACATACCCTCTTTTCTCTACATCTATATGATATATGGTATATGATATACAGATTTAGTTTAAATAAAATTAGAATATCTGAGCAGTATGTATTTAAGTGCACAACACAAAAAATGTTCATATAAATACAAATAACACTGAAACAATAAGTAATGATTTAATATTAACAGTAATAAACAATTTTTCTGCTAAACAATGTTATTCATTAACAATAGGTTTTGGCTGCCAAGCAAATTAACAATCAAAGATTTTTCAATGTTCATTATTCACTACACAATCAGTATATGGAAACTAAGCTGCAATAACAGTTCATTTTGAAGTCAGTGTAATTATGGCATACCAAAAAACAATGTACTTACACATTTGCACTGGGCACTTCATTAGGCACACAGCAGTGCTGCTGTAGTTTTTAAACACTGTGTCCACTTACTGTCCACTGTATTAGACACACCTGACTTGTTGGTCCACCTTGTTGGAGACAGTAACATTGTTGCCACACAGTTTGTGGAAGTCATCTTCTAATTCTTCTTCAGTGGTCACAGGATGCTGCCCATAGGATCCTGTTGGCTGGATATTTTTGATTATTGGACTACTCTCAGTCTAGTAGTGACACTGACGTGTTTAAAAACTCCAGCAGTACTGCTGTGTCTAATCCTCTTGTACCAGTGCAACATACACTAATGCTGCAGTGCTGAAAATGATCCACCTCCCAAATAATATCTGCTCTGTGGTGGTCCTGTGGGGGTCCTGACCATTAATGTTCGTATACATGGTATACCTATAGGTGACCCTAACAAAGTGCTCGGTGAGTATATGTCCACCTATTCAGTCTATAGCAAGACAGCCTTGTCCATTCACACTGAAGTTATTAGAAGTGTTTCAGCCCAGACAGAGGTTATTTACATATATCAGTGTTAAAGTCATGGTAACAAAAACAGCCTGTTTAATTCTAATGGATAAGGAGAGGTTGGAAAATGGTTATATAAAAATGAATTATAACTGTTTTTGGTACATAAACATTGAATGCCATTATATACACACAAATATCATAAATGAACCTCAGCGAATTAAAATAATATGTGCTACATTAAGTATTTTACAATGGCTTTGGGCACTGCTCAGCCAATCAGATTTTAAAACTATAACTATCGATTTTATAAATCATGTATTTGTAGGATACATTTTTGTTTGCTTAACAAAGCACTATTTCAGATCATCTTTGCCTTGATCTCTTCACTCTCTCATTCTTTGTGTGTGTGTGTGTGTGTGGTGATGATCAATGAGGGGCTCCCCAGCAGCCTGCCTATATTTACTCTATATCTCCACTATATTTAACTCTGAAGAGAGAGTGACACAGTAGCTCTCTCTCTCTCTCTCTCTCTCTCTCTCTCTCTCTTTCTCTCTCTCTCTCTCTCTCTGTCTCTCTCTCTCTCCTGCCCCAGGCCTTTCCATCCTGAGGAGAACCCCACAGCTTCAACAGCTGTTTTAGAAAGTCAGATGGGTTGCATGTGTGTATGTGCACGCTTTATTTTTAGATGCAGGACTAGGTGAGTATGAGTTTACACATGAGGAAGTGATTGTGTGTGGCAAAACTCAATTGAGTGAAAAAGATAAATTAGAGAGAAAGAGAGGAAGCCTGTTTCTGTGCTTATGGAAATGAAGCTCTGTCATGTTCCATTATCCAGGGTCCTCAGGGTGAGCACCGATCTGTGTGTATAGCGACGAGACTCAATATAATCTTCCTTAACTCATGTGAGTGTTTTATCTGAGTCTATCTGTTGGCAAGATTCTCTATATGGACTGTTAAGGTGCTTAAGGTTCAGGTTAGTGGACATTTGGGTGCATGTGTGTGTGTGTGTGTGTGCATACAGATGAGGCCTGTCTATTATATCTTCATATTTAATGCCATGCTGTCAGAGGTATCTCCATGGTGACACTCTTTTAAGAGATGGTCATGCAAACGTCCATGTCTGGCCCAGTCGCTATCACTTACACTTAATGATTTTCACAGCTACTCAGTCTTTGTGCATCAGGACTGTAGATGTCTATTAGCGCTCATACACACAAAACTGTATATTATCCATTCAATTCAAATAATAATATATTATTGTTAAATCAATAAGCCTCTCATTGTCATACATCTGACATACACACGCAAACAGATGCACCACTAAATAGCTGATTAGGGTTCCACTTGAGGTTATTAGCTCTGTTCGAAATAGCCTACTACATATTGCTCACATACTGATTGTGTCCAAAAGTAATAAGTATGCAGTATATGACATGCTAGATATTGTACAGTATTCAGTATATAGTACAATGTATGTTATTTTAAACAAAGCCTGTATGTGTGTGTGTGTGTGTGTGTGTGTGTGTGTGCGTGTGTGTGTGTGTGTGTGAAAGATTATGTTGGATAGCACTGGTTTATTCTAACTGACTTGTCCATGGTAAACCCACAAATAAGTACTTTCATACGACTTTTGTGAGATTAGTCACGTTTTAAAGAAAATTGGCAAAAATCCCATTCAATATATAGAGAGACTATGATGCATATGATGCTCATTTTTGAGAACATTTGTATATTTAGAGTGTTCTTAATTTCGAATGATATGTATTTACATATGTGTGTGAAAGGTCTCACTGTTAGAATAGATCGGATGTAGTTTTTGTTGTGTAATCAGTCTAACATTATGCTGGTAAATTCATCAACATTGTTTTGAACATAGTCAAGCTTCGTTGTCTGAGACATATTACTTCTTAACAATGTGCTACACTTTCTCAATTATGTTGAATGGGAGTTTTATCAACATTCTGTAAAGCTTGTTTAACGTAGCAACAGTCTCTGGGAAAGAACACACTTGTGGGCGGAGCATGGATTGTACTGTCAGGGATGTTTAAGGTCTTTGCTACTGCTCTGTAGTTTTCCTTTCAAGTGTTGTTTAATAATGGTGAGGACTTTGGGAAGCTCCTTCACCTTCACCGTGATTGCTACTTGTCACAAGAAATCTTCTCAACCAATGGCAGCATCTTTTATAATGACACCAGGTGTAATTTGCATGAGAACATTGTTTTGGCAGTATTATTTCAGTACACATTTTTGTGCATACTTATAAGTACAAAGTCAATACACATTATGTGTGTAAATTTAAAGTGGAAATATGTACAAAAGGTTCTTGGTTTCGTGTCCTCCTAGTTTTGACTTTGGCCCAAAGAGTGTCCATGCAGTGTGCCGGAAGATTTGCTCATTGGGAAAATACACCTGTGTTAATAATGACAGCACAAATAGCACAGTAATATCACAGTAATGTAAGAATAATGTGGGAAGAAAATGGCCAAAGCTCTGGATCCCTTAGCCTGGTTCGTCTGTCGTTAATGGGACCATCTCCGCAAGATGAAGTCATCTGTCCCACCTGCTTTTGCTAGGGAAGGACTCCTGAGAGCTCAATGAAGGCAAGGTCACAGGGTCAAATGTGAGAGGGAGGACACTCTCTATATAAAAAAGGTGTCAAAAGGGGTCCATCATATTTTGGTTCCCTAAAGAACATTTTAGTGGATGGCTCTTTAAAGAACTGTTAACTGTTCTTGTAAATGAGATGTGTAAGTATGAAGAACCTCATTAAAGTTTTAAAAATCTCCAAATAATGTGAAGGTACTATTCCAATCAAAAGTTTTTCACGGAAGTGTAGAAGAGGCAAGTTTGGAAGAGGGATTGCCCTAAAATTTCTCAAAATGGACACACCCATGTATGATGACACAAATGAATTTACACAGTGGAAAAATTAAGAGGGACATATGTCCGCATGTGAGTGCATGTAATTGCTGTTCCGTGTAGTGCCAGCTCTGCAAAGGTAGCCTTCAGCTGGCCCCTGCCCCTCGGCTCTCTGCTCTGTTGTTTTAGTGGTCTGATCCTAATCTCTTTTGAAATGTCAATTTTCATGTAATCAAAACACCATCTATGTTTAGCTTCCTGCAGGCAGGCCATTAACTTTTACAGGTTAGGCTTGATCGGGCAGCCGGAAACACTCCTTCAGATATAAACTCAGCTTTAAACATTATAAATCCAGCTTTAAAAACTATTAGCGGTGACTCATAGGTCTAGACTACCTCCAAGCACCTGTGTTCAGATGAGCTGCTCAGGAGTAATCACATTACACTTTACAAATTCTCAACTATGGCAGGAGTTAAAGCAACCTCTTATGAATTCATCTAATTCTATATTATATGTTAAATGAAGTATGGTGAATACTGCTAAAGTGTGAATGCAGGATCCCTATGTCGTATATACCATGAAAACTTTATAAAGCTTAAAATGTCCCTTACACTATTTGAAAGCAAAAAACAAATGACACAAACACAGACAGGATGACCCTTCTTAGAACCTCTGCTGACCACAATTTTTCAGGTGACACCTTTACTGTCAAAGTGGCCAAAAACGGTCCAGCCTTCTTTACGGCTTTTGAAAAACCAAGCAGGTTATTTGTTTCAGAAAACAAACCTCTGAATCTCTTTCTGGTGGTGTGGATAATTTCTATTGGTGAGTACTTACTTATGATAGTTATAATCAATAAGCCTCCATAGTGGCTGTCCCAGTTTACCAATAACACCCTCTTCCACTTTGTCAATGTGTTATTGCTTAAAGAAAAATTGCTAATAATAATAACATTAAAAATAATTTCTAGATGCATTTTTACATTCCACTCTCATAAGTGTAACATTTACAAATCTTAAATCAAGC